CACCACCCAGTGAGTCCATCCAAGTGGATTAATCCACTTATTAGTCTACACCCAGTGAGTCCATCCAAGTGGATTAATCCACTTATTGGTCTACACCTCTCACAACCCACTCATTCCACCTCTGAACCTTCTTGGTGGTCTCCCACATGAGCTTTAGGGGGACACCTCACATCTAAACCATGGACCATCTCATCTACCCAGATCTTTGAACCCTGAATTACAGTCGGGACTCCCAGGACAGATTTAACACGGGCCCATGGGGGCCGCCATGGGGGCCGGGCGAGATTCCTATGCATCCATTTTCCCTGTGCGCTCACTGGGCGACTGTGACAGGCGAGAGGAGCTCCTGCTGCTGTGGAGGCCGGAGGACCCATAGGAGGCTGTTCTTCTGTCCCTGGCCGTGATAATGGGCAGCCCTGTGAGCAGGAAGACTCAAGGGTTGGCCTCTGGGAGGCTCGGCCTCCTTTATCACACAGTCCTGTCCCTGAGCCCCTGTTCCCTGGCCCCGGGGTGTGGACAGAGCCCAGAGAGGAGYGGCCTCCCTCCCGGCCGGGCCTCCCTCCGGCTCCTCCAGCCGCAGTCGCCCTTCCAGGGCCCCCGGCTCCCGCGGCCTCCTCACAGGCCTGCACTGTTGCAGGTGTGCGCACTYGGCCGCCGGGAGGGGCGGCTCATAATTAACGACTTGGCCTTCGGGGTGACAACCGGAGCTGAAGAGTTTATTGTTTGGGGAAGAAAAACACAGAGAGGAAGTGTTCCCGGCTCGGGAGCCCGCCCCGCGGGGAACAGGAGCGGGTTGTGGAGGTCCGCACAGGGAGGCTTTCTTCCAGTGAGGCCGGACTCCACCGCTGCAGCCGCCCAGCAGCCCGAGGCCTGGAGGCCAGCGACTCGCAGGGAGCCAGGAGTGAGCCCCACAGGGGGACAGGGGGACACGGAGGGAGCTGACATGTGCCATCGGGCGGCAGCTCTGCTCTGACATCGTGGAGCAAAGACGTGGTTTTTAGCTTCGAAGCACCCAGAGGACCTGSCTGCGAGTGTCCCTCAGGCTGCGGGGATCCAGGCTGCGAGAGATCCCAGGGGCCGGGGTCTCCGCTCACTCGTCCCCCAGAGAAGGCTCCGCCGTGTTCTGCAGCCCCCAGGACACCTGACGCTGTCCACTGGGTGGGGCTGCTCCTGGCTCCTGGTGTGTGGGGCCCAGAGAGGCTGCTGCACCTCCTGCAGCGCACAGCACAGCCCACCCCAGAGCACCCCCAGCCCCAGAGGCCCCCAGAGCAGAGGAGACCTGCAGGACAGAGTCTCTGTCCATCATCCGTCCACCCAGCTGCCACCTGTCTGTCTACCACCTGTCCATGCGTCTGTCATTCATGTGCATGACAGTATCCACATGGGCACAGCCGGGGGTCTCTACGAGGCCTTTCTGTGCACACTCGCAGTGAGGAGCAGAAAAGTGGACACACACACGTTCCTTAACCTTCACGTGACCCGAGCTCCGTGGCTCACGCCTGTCACCCCAGCCGCTTGGGAGGCCGGGGCAGGAGGATCTCAAGTTGGAGGCCAGCCTCAGCCATCTAGAGAGGCCCTTGGCTTGCATCACTTAACCCCGTTCCAGATGCTATAGCTACGTTGAATATGGCACGACTCCACATTTTATATGTATTTTATGTATTTTTGCATATTTTATATGTTATATATATTTTTAATATTTTGCCTATATTTTATATAGTTCATGACCTCGTTAATTCCATGACAGGTTTCAGAAGCACGCTGTGACGTGAGGTTCCTAGAGTCTGCAATCTCCTTGTGCGTTCAATGATTCCACGAGCTAGAATAAAAAAATCTAAGAAATTACCTATTT